CTGGAGAAAGAAAGAAAGAAAAAATGGTAAATACTTAAAAAAAATTTAAATCGTCAAATTTTTTTTTTTTTCCTTTGTTCGATTTATTATTATTATTATTATTATTATTATTATTATTAATTTTGGCCAACAGTTGTTGTGTGTTTCGTTCGAACAACTGTTTCCGTTTTCTTATAAAATTTCAAAAATGATATTTGATCTCCATGCAATTCTTTGAGTTAATATCCGTTTGTGGTAATTTTTTTTTTTTTTTGTTACGTTTCCAATAAGTTTTTTGTTAAACAAAAACCGAAAGAAAGGCATAAACAAACTTAATAATAATAATAATAATAATAATACTACCATCATTGATTTTTAATCGGTATCAGGTGTAAACCTGGACAAAACAAATTGTGAAAAACTCCGGTAAGAACATTCGCCAAAATTAAAATTCAATATAATAATAATAAGGAAAAAAAAAGAAAAAGAGAGAGGGGAAAAGAAATAGAAAAATTTAGAGATAAAGAGAGAGAGAGAGAGAGAGAGAGAAAAAGAGAGAAGGCGAAAGAGAGAAAGAAAAAGAAAAAAACAGGGAGAAAAACAGAAAAACTGAGAGAAAAAGAGAGAAAAACAGAAAAACTGAGAGATAGAAAGAGAGAGAGAAAAACCGAAAAATTGAGTGACAAAAAGAGAGAAAGAGCGACACAGAACAAGAGAGAGAGAGAGAGATAGAAAGATAGGTACAGAAAGAGAGAGAGAGAGAGGAAAAATAAACAATTAAATTTTTTTGTCCAGATACACACACACATATTTACGCGCCTAAAATTTTTTGGAGAGCTGGAAAAATACGTGAATAATCACCCTGACCTAAAAATATAATTTTTCTTTTTTCTGTTTTTTTCTGGAACATTCTTTTCTTTTTTTTTCTTTCTCCAATCGGAAAATTATAAAATTTACATTTTGACGTATTTATCAAATAAAAAAATAAATAAATAAAATTTCCTATCGATTTATATGTATATATATATATAATACAATTTTTTTGTTAATCGTTCTAGAAATTTCGAAAAATAAAACGAATTTCGTAATTATTTCCCTCCCTCCCTCCTTCCCCCTTCTAAATTATTTATTTCCTTTAACGATTATTGATTATTTTCGTTGTTATTATTATTATTACTTAATAATTAATCCAAAGTTTCTATTTTTTTTAAATTAATAATTTACGTTTCGCCTGCCGTGAATTTTTTTCTTTTTTCCACCGAACTCAAACGATGACACGATAATAATAATAATGATAATGATAATAATAATAATAATAATAATAATAATAATAATAATAATAATAATTCGCAAGAAAATAATTAAAAAAAAAATAAAATAAATCGATGAAAACGTAATCCGCAAATCGATTGATCTATATATTAAAGTAGTTTTGTCTTCGTACGTACCCAAGAACCCTTCACCTCATATGATAAATTCCCTTATCGATTGGAAAATTTTTTTCTTTTTTTTTTTTTAAATTTAATTCATTCCCCCTACTTTCCTTACGACAGTCTCAAACATCTTACATTTCGTCATCGTTATAATTTTCTTTTCTTTTTTTTCCTTCCCGTAGTGCAAATCATCGTGAAGTCTAGTGAAAATTTATTTCGACAAAAGAAAAAAAAAATTTTTAAGAAAACGATTTTTTACAAAAGTTAAACGTGTCGAAACGTACGAAACTAACAATGCGAGTCATTTAAATTTTATTCAAGACGTAAGAAGATTGAAAAACGTTATGCATTTTTTAAACGTTGATTATGTAACTAACGATAAAATGTTTTTTCTTTCGTTTATTTACTTGAAACGTCGAGGCATTATTATTATTATTATTATTATTATCATCACCGTCATCGTTAAAAAAAAAAAAAAAAAAAAAAAAAATTTTTTTTCCTTTCTTTCTTTCCCGTATTTTATTACGACCATGTTTAACTTTTATAAAAAAATTTTTCAAACCGTCGTGCGTGTAACGGTCGGACGTGGAGTTCAAGGCTTAATGACGTCACATATAAAATGAGCAGCCATATTGGATTTGTATAAAATCGATTCATGTGCCGAAGTGTTTTTCGTTTCGTTTCGTCAGAGATCTTTAAACTACATAGGTAAAGGTGACAACAAAAGAATCGATATATCGTTCGCGATAAATAATCGTTTACCACCTTTCAACAATCGAATTTGTACATATATATATATATATATTATCTGTTTTTGGAAAACGTAAAATAATTTTGTAATCGTGGAAGCAGAAAACAATTTTTTTCTTTCTTTCCCAAAATCGTTTTGTAATAATCGATACCTTGTACTCAACTAAATTTAATTACCGTATTAAAAACAACGATAAACACGTACCCTTTTCTTTTGTTTCTGACACGACATTTAAATTTTACAAAATTTAAGAAAAAAAAAAAAATAATAATAATAATGCTTTTATAAAAAATCCCTATCCCCCCATTTCGAAATCGTTTTTCTATTACCACGTTCAACGCGGGCGCGCGCGCGCGCGCAATCGTTACCTACATACGTGCATTAATTTTTCCATAGTCAAACGATACGCAATCGTTAAAATTATTTTGTTTTTGAGGGGGGTAGAGGGGAGTAGGGGGAGGAGTGGGGGAAGGGAATCCGACCACGACCAAAGTCAAAATTAAAAAAAACCGACGACAACAACAACAACAACAACTTAGAAAAAAAATAAATAAAGACGACACGTGTGTGCAAAGGACTAAAATACGTGCATGCATGCATGCATATATACATGTGTACATTTTCCCTTTTTTTTCTCGCGGTCACGTGATCATTTTATAACTTTCTTTCCTATTTACCATTACATCTACGGGATACAATGGAAATTATTTTAAGATCGATTGAAAATAATCTTAGACGAATGGATAGATTTTTACCCTCGGGAAGAAATGTGTCGAAGCAGAAGAAGAAAGAATTTCAAGTGAGAATAAATAAATAAATAAGAACGCCTACGCCACAGACTGACTCTCAAACCCGAGAACAAACATAAAATATACTAGTAATGGGCAATCCGCCATGTTTATTATCGAGGGAGCAGTTTTACGATCCTTTCGAAAATAAAACTTCTTTCATCCGGATCGTTTCCATGGCAGTCCAAACGTTTTTTTTTTTTTTTTTTTTTTTCTCGAACTCTTTACCACGCATGTTTTTGCCATAGAATCGTGTCTTTGTCTCACACACACACACACGCACACACTCTCTCTCTCTCTTTCTCTCTCATCGTTTGTATGCACGCCCTTTAACATGTATTTATATATATATAAGACGAATTCGCCGGCGCAATGTGCGTATGCGTTCGTTCGTTCGTTCGTGCGTGCGTGCGAACGAACGTCTTCGTCTATTTAAAATGTTTATAAACAAGGAAGAGAGAGAGAGAGAGAGAGAGAGAGAGAGAGAAAAGTTTTTCATTTGTTCACACACACACGATTAGGCCAATTTCGGTTGCAAATGAACAAAAAAAAAAAAAAATTTCCGCGCCGTCTGCCGATAAGAAAAGTTATTTAATGACCCTGACACAAGGAGACTAATAAAAATTGTTTTTTTTTTTGTTCAGAAAACTCGTACTGAACTTTTTTTATCGATATATTTTTTTTTTTTTTTCTAAAAAAAAATTCTGTATTGAATTTATTTGTCCGTCTCTTTAAACACCTACAATATCCCATGTATATAATTCATTCTTATTTATTTTACCCCCTCCCTCCTCCCTCCGCCCTCCCCCCCCAAAAAAAAAACAATTTATTATTTTTCGACGTTCGTTTGTTTAACACGCGCGTTCGAAACGAACCAAATTTTTTTTTCGAAAAACAAAAAAAAAAATTTTAACGATCGTAATAATAATAATAATGGTAACGTGGGAGCACTTGGAGCCATACCACACTCTTCGCTCAAGGGCAATAATTTCAAATAAGATTTTTTTTTTTTTTTTTTTTAGAAAGTTATAATAATAATAATGATAATAATAATTCTAGTGCCACGTTTTTTTTTTGTGTGTGTGTATGGGAGAGCAAGAATTTGAGTGTGACCATTTTGTTTTAAACCTGGAATATGTTGTGATGGTGATGGTGATGGTGATGATGGTGGTGGTGAGAAAATTTTTGACAGGAGGGATTCGTCGCGTGTAAAAAATGATGATGATGATGATGATGATAATGATAATGATAAAAGAAAAAGAAAAAGAAAAATAATAATAATAATAATAATAATAATAATAATAATAATAATAATAATGAAATCTCACGTGTCAAAAATTACTCTTGGTTGAATAACCTCAATTAGTGTTGTTAGCTAAATGAAAAAAAAAAATTTTTTTTCTCTTAAATTCACACGAATTTTTTTTTATTTTTATTATTTTTGTCTCTCGAAAGTAAAAGACAATGAAATTCATTTAAAACGACGACGATGACGATGACGCCATTTTATCGTACGATTTTAAAATTATCGATCGAAGTTTCTAGAACAATCGCTAATCGCTATAAATCGCTATAATCTACAAAAGACTATTTGAGTAAAAAAAAAAAAAAAAAATTTATTTTTTACCGAACGAACTAACGAAAACAAAAATTTTTTTTTTCGAGGGGGGGCGGGCGGGGAGAATTTTGGGATGAAACGTCAAAAGAAATCACATTAAAAAAAATTACGATAATAATAATAATAATAATAAATTACAATTTTCCCTTTGACCGTTTGCCATTTAAATCCTTTTAAATGTACGATTTATATAAATATATGTAAACATAAACAATTTTTTTTTTTTTTAAATATTTACAAATTCGACCCAAAAATAATTGCGTACGAATTACGTTTTTTTTTTTTTTTTTTTTCTCTCGAAAACTCGTAAATCGATATTTTCGATAATCGATACTCGATAAAAAAAAAAAAAAACGTTCGATTATTTTTCTAAAAAAAAAATTAAAAATTAGAAAAATAATACGGAGAAAAAAAAAAAAAAAAAAGAAAATTGCCTCCTGTGAGGTTTGAACTCACGACCCCTGGTTTACGAGACCAGTGCTCTTCCACTGAGCTAAGGAGGCGTACGCCGGTGTGAGACCGAATTAACGTACATAAGATAAACGTGTCTTTTCTTTTCTCTCTCTCCCTTTTTTTTATTATTTATTTATTTATAAAAATCGTTTTTTAAAATGGTCGTCAGAGTGAACTACGTTACGGCTTTCTTTCTTTCTTCTTTTCTTTTCGAAAATTTTCCTTTCCCCCCCCCAAAAAAAATAAAGACACCGGTATTTTCCCCCCGTGGCAAACTCAGTAGTAAAAACAAACATGAGACAAAGTCCGCAATAATAATAATAATAATAATAATATTAATTTGAAATCGAAAATAATATAAATAAATATCTATGGGTCTACCATGACTCAGGGGCGTACCTTCGAGAAATTTCCATCGTCGTGGTGATGATGGTTTCCAAAAAGAAAAGAAAATTATACCGCACACTCGTATATATTACGTAATGAAAAAAAAAAAAAAAAAATCAAACACCTTTCGTTCCATTCAATAATTATAATCTATTCAAGAAGAAAAAAATTTTTTTCTAATCTATATTTTTGTCATCTTTTCTTTATGATTCTCCAAGGACGATGGCGGTTCGGTTCGATTCGGTTCGCTCGCCTGCAGGCAGGCAGGCAGGCACACACGCACACGCACACACACACAAAATAATCTTACGCATACACACAATATCATCATCATTATATATATATGTCATAGAAAAAAATAAGAATGAAATTTTTGTCAGGGACAGCTGATTCCTCCTTTTCCACAATTACAATGATTTCTTTCATCGAAATCAACGCGTTTTATCCCTTGAACCTACATGTCTAACCCTAAGGGTGTTACCCTCTTTTCTTATCCCTACGTATAGACATTTATTCTTAATCTTACTACTACCACTACTACCCTTGCTACTACTACTACTACTACTACTAAAAGTCGTATTTCCCGTTACTCCCCTGCGTGTGTGTGTGTGTTTGCCACCCGCATGCATTTTTATGCATTTACCTATTAACCACCCGAGAAAAAATCCATCCGTGAGAATTCGAATTTAACCGAAATATATATGAAAATGACCTTTTTCCCGTTGATGCAAACCTTTACCGTTACGCAACCTTTTCCGTTATCGTTCAACATTATACGTCACACGTACCACTTTAACACATTACTTATACCCTTTTGTTTTCGTCAACGATAGATAATAATAATAATAATACTCATTTAGAATTTTTCGAACAAAAAAAAACCGAATGGTTTTGGAAAAGGGAGTGTGAACGTAAAAATTAATTAAGTAGTTCCTAACCCGAAAACTGGGGTGACTAAGATGTGATGATGATGATGATGATGATGATGAATCATTTGATAATAATACTCGCGAGGTTATCTGCTCGAAAACAAATTAGGTAGGTACCTATTAAAAATTATCGATAAAGTTTATCATTACGGTTGCCACATCGTCGTTTGTTTTTGCAAACGTGATACCTCGTGAACCTTTTACAAACGTTCCTAACCTTTCATCCACAGTTTCGTCTGCTAGATAAAAAACATCGATCGAAATGTTGTTATCACAAGTTTACCCTGTCAATCCCAATAATAATAATAATTTTTAACGAAATTGATCATCAATCAATCATGAGAGATCGACAAGTTAATTAATAACAAACAAACAAACATTCGAACAAATTCATAATAAAACGACGCCATTTTTTTTTTAAAGGCCAAAATAAAAACGTTCCATTAATGCAATAAAAAAAAAGGTGCTGACATAAATGAAAACACCATTACACATTTTATTGGGGTACCCGAGAAAAATAAAACGACGACGACGACGATTTCTTTCCCCGGATGACTGACTGACTGTTTGTTGTTTGTTCGTTTGTTGGGGCAGTGGGTCGAATATTATTATTAAATTGTTTTGTTTTGACCAACAGATGTTTCAAATTCGAAAATATTTACAAATTTCATTTCATCATCGAAAAATATGTTTTCGTTCGACGTAAAAAAAAAAAAAAAAAAAACTTTTGATTGGTTTTCAAACAGTTTACAGGTACACGAATTTCAAAAAAAAAAATTTTTTTGTTATTGATTTCCTTTGACGTGATTTCACACGTTTAAATAAAAACAACCTAAAATCGTTAATAATAATAATAATAAGGAAATTTTTTTCGAGTGTTGATTAATCGAATTGTAACAAATATTAAAAAAAAAAAAAAAAAAATTCATTCAAAAACACTAAAAAATGAATTTTTTTTCCCTGAGGGTTGGGGGTCCTATCGAAAATTTCTTATAAATCGTCGAACCTGTTTCGAAAAAAAAAAAAACCTTAAATATTTATAAATAATTTTTTTTTTTTTTTTTTTTTTTTTCAAGTACCTATTGAATATTTTAAAAAGAAAGAAAAAAACTAATAATAATGATATTATTTTCTGAACAAGTTGATTTGCGATGCGTGTTTTAAATACGAAAACAAGGGATAATCCAATCGAACCGCTAAAAATTAATTCATACAAACGAACAACTCAATTCTCACTTTTTATGTTTTGTCATGTTCCAGACACCGAGGGGGGGGAACAGGGGGGGTTGAAAATCCAAAAATATTTACAAAAAAAAAAAAAAAGAAATTTCAATTATGTTTAAAATCGTTTACAAAAAAAAAACAACAACAACAACAAACGAACGCGTTTTCGACTAAAATTTTTTTTCCAAAAAAAAAAAAAAAAAAAAAAATTGTGAACGGTTCGTAGGGGGAAGTGGGGGTCGTGAGTTCGATTCAACATTTTGTCGGTTTTTTTTTTTGAAGATTGTGAAAATTTCATTTTTCTGGCAATTGAAAATGAATAACGTTTCGACAAAAAAAAAAAAAAAAAAAAAATGACTACGGAAATTATTAATTTATTTATTTTTTTTCTCATGGACCCATTATTAATTTTTTTTTTTTTTAAAGTAGTTTTGAAAGTTTTTGGTGGAAGGTGCGTAATCACGTAAATTAAATTTAATAATTGTAATTAAAGTTCTAGAAAAACTCTTGCTTCCACAAGCAAGGTGTCGGTAGTGGTAGTAGAAAGTGTCAAGGCTAACAATGTGCCACGAATCGAACGTGATTCCAGACCGACGTTTAAAAATTTATCATGTGATTCGACATTAATTTTTCCTTTAAATGGAAAACAAAAAAGATTTTTTTTTTTTTTTTTTTCCCCTGATACCTCATTACCACGTTCTCGTTCCACGACAAAAACTTGTAAAATACTCGACACCCGCGTAACCAAAAATAAATAAATAACGTCCCGCCATTTTTATTTTTTAACGTAGGTGTTGTTGTTGTTGTTGTTGTTATTCTTCCTCCCTATTTTTTTTTTTTTTGGGGGGAGGGGAGGGAAATGTAATCGATATTTTTTTAAAAATTAACAATAATAAAATCCCTGAAACGCGAATCCTGTAATGTATACCGTAAACAGTTTAAATTTAAAAAAAAAAAAAAAAACTTTCGTTTTCATCCCTTTAAATTTTACCGCCGCCATTAAAATTCGAATCAATTTTAAATGCAAAAATAATAAAAAAAAAATTATCGATAATAATGACGATTCGTTTACCCTTTAACCCGTAGTGTTAATAATAAAAGCAGAAGAAATAGAAAAAAAATCTTTTTTTTTTTTTTTTTTTTTTTCATAGTCGATTTCACTTTCTACGCCGCGTAAAAGCAGATGTTTGTCGTTTTTAAATTTAATTGAAATATTTACGTGGCAGCATTTATTTAAGAAAAAAAAAAAAAAAAAAATTCATTGATTTTTCCCTTTTTATTATTATTATTATTATTCTCACTCTCGACAACGAAATCGATATATCGATAATTTTTTTCATACGATTTCTCGATCATCCAGTCAGTCATCGTCGTCGTCGTCGTAAAAAATGAAAATGAAACGTGAAAATCGATTTAAAATTTATTAATAAGAAAGCTAGCAAACTCTCGATCGATCTATCGATCCATCGATCGATTTATCGTTTGGTTTTTTAAATAAAATTCTTCCCACATACGTAAGAAAAAAAAAAAAAAAAAAAAAATTAATCTTTCTTCATAATAATAATAATAATAATAATTCTGTCGTTTCGCAAGAGTAAACACATAACAATAATGACCCTCAAATTCATGTGACGTATGTTCGCCACCCTCGATATTTCAATGTTTTTTTGATGCATACACACAAAAAAAAAAAAAAAAAGAAAAAAACAATGAAAAAGAAAAAAGTCTCAAGAAGAGAAGAGAGAAAAAGAAAAAGAAAAAAAAAAAAAAGAAAAAAAAAATGGTCACATTATTTTTGGTAGAATGGGCAACAACCTTACGACGATTGCAGCTGTTGCTTAACAACCCAAGAAATTTGACGCAAACCCTCCCCCTAAACTCTCCCTTTTTACCCCCACCCCCCACCCCCCGCGACGGACCATTATTTTCAATAGTATTGCGTATATCAATATTGTATAAGATTTTTTTTTTCTTTCTTTGTCGTTACCAAGGTGGCAAAATTTTTATCCTAAATGTAACAGTAGTAGTAATAATAATAATAATAATAATGAAATCCTACCTTTACCTTTATCGTCCTCGTCGTCCTTTTAAATCCTTCTCGAATTTTTTCAAAACAAAAATTTTTATTTTTTTTTTCTTTTCCTTTTCGCCAAGCCCCAAAAACATCTGAAAAAAAAAAAAGAAAAATGGTCGTGAGTCCATGTAAAATTTAATAATATTTAAAAATTTGTGTGAGAAAAACAAAAACAATTAATAATAAGAACATGTAACTAATCAAGAAGAACGTAAACGTGACTTTTTTTTTTTTTTTTTTTTAAAATATATAAACCAAATATATATTTCTCTCTCTCTCTCTCTCTCTCTCACTCTCTCTTCGTAGACAAAACAAAAGAAAATTTTTAACATTTTTAATTTTTCAAAAAAATATTTTTCAACATACTACGACAACACTGACGTACGATATACAATCAATAATAACAAATCGATAAAATCGATATCTCGAAAGTAAAAAAAAAAAAAAACAAAATGGCGACGCATCACATCATCATTAATCGACGATTTTTTAATATTCACTTTTAAAATCATAAGAAAAATGATGATGATGATAATAATAATTCTATCATTCTTTCGTAATCCCTTTTTTTTTCCATCATTGTGAGAGAGGGAAAAAAAAGGGGATGATTTTTTCATAATATTAAAAAATTTTTTTTTTTAAATTCCTTTATGGTATCTGAACTCGATTCGGTCACCTTTTTTTTTTTACCTATTTAAATAAAATTTTTAAACTACCCCTAAAGAGAAGAGCACATAAGCAGACACACACACACACACGTGGGTTTTATTTCTTCCCTTTCAATCAAATCTTTTTTTGTATGTGTGTGTGTGTGCGCGCGCCAACTTTATCCAAAGGCTTTTTTTTTATTTTTTTTATTTACAATTCTTTACGAAAAACTTTTTTTCTATATATATATATATAAAAAGGGAGATTAAGATTTATCGAATCGTATTTTTGTTAATTTTATCTAATTCCACGTCGATTAATAAAAATATAAATAAAATTTTATAATCATTCACCTCGTCCCTAGGTCTTACTAATGTTTTTGTTTATAAAAAAAAAATGTAAACATTAATAAATATGACGTCATAATCAAATATGTCGGTGAATTTTTATGTAAAAGGTGTAACTGAAAATAAAGAAAGAATCGTCGTAAAGATTATATTACGCAAAAAAAAAAAAAAAAAAAAAGAAAAAGATCTGACTGAATAAAGAAAGTGAAACAAAAGGAGTCTAACATCTGGTTCTTAAGTTTTTTTTTTTTTTTTTTAATACCAAAGGTTTAATGGAAAGGAAAAAAAAATAGTAATAATAATAATAATAATAAAAGGATTAAATTTACTCCTTTTTTATCCCTTTCCTTTCCTTTTTCTTTTTTAGTTTTAATTTTTCTTATTATTAATTTCCTTTGAATTTGCCATTTGGTATCCGCAAAAAATTTAACTAGCCAGATGTTTTTAAAATGTAATAATGATCGGACTCCCCAATTTTTCCTTTTTTTTCTAAAAAAAGACGTCAGAAAGAAAGAAAGAAAGAGACAGATTATTATCCTCTCATTTGGCTTTTTAAAATAATAATAATAATAATAGTTTACGAAATAAGCATCTGTTTGACTTTTAACGGCGGCTCCCCATTTATATATATATATGTATTTTTAAACAATTTTTTTTTTTTTTTTCTGTTGGTAATGACTTAACATTGACAGATTTAAAAAAAAAAAAAAAAAAAAAAAAAAAAAGTTTTTCGTTTAAAAAAAAAAAAAAAAAACTTAACTGCCGAAACCCGGGATCGAACCAGGGACCTTTAGATCTTCAGTCTAACGCTCTCCCAACTGAGCTATTTCGGCACATGACATACAAGGACGTGAAAACGGTTCATCAATTAAAATTATTTTTTATAAAATTACTATTTACCCGTATAGGTGTCAGCACAGATTAACGCCGTTTTAAACCACGTTGGTGACTATAACGATGGCTTGTTAAATTTTCTCAATCCCTCTATGTGGTGTTTTTCTTTTTATTTTTCTTAGCGATAAAGTGAAAAATGTTGATTTGTCGGATGTAAGTGATCGAATAAAATAATTCTCGTAATAATGACTAGTGAAAAATCCAACGTGACTCTTGGGTGCATTGAAAAATGTGAAGAAACGTGGGCTTTGGAAAGTAGATATTTTCCAAGCAAAGTCGGCGGTCGTCCGGCATGGTTGGATTTAAAAAACATTAACGTTGATGTTTCTTGCACGATTTGTTCGGATCCTTGTTTGTTTCTTTGTCAAATCTACGCTCCGATTGATTCACAACCCAGTGCTTATCATCGTACCATTTTCGTATTCGTTTGTAAAAACCCCAACTGTTGTAAATCAAATTCAAATAATAATTTCAAAGTGTTCAGATGTCAATTGCCATTAGTGAATGATTATTACCCACCTGAAGAACCGACAGATGATCCTGATTGGAGTACTGATAGCAAAGTCGAGAAATTTAATGATATCTGTCACGTTTGTGGTTGTTTAGGTTCTTATCAATGTAGCAAATGTAAACTTATTAAATACTGTTCGAAAAGTCATCAAGTTTTCGATTGGAAAACAAATCATAAAAACATTTGCAATAGTGTTGTTACTACTACTCCCACACCTGAAAATTCAAACAACACATTTAATTTATTATTTCCTGAATATGAAATTATAGAAGAAGAAGAAGAAGAAGAAAAATGTGATGATTCCGATGAAAATATTACAGAAAGTAAAACGGAAGAAAAAAAATCTTACAAAGAAAGATTTAACGATTTGAAACAGTTGTTAGAAGAAGGAAATCTGCAAAATGCATCAGATGATCTTTTAATGGATTTGGATAATGGAAAAGAATATAAATATTTGAAACATTTTAAAACAAAGTTAAAATTAGTTCCTGATCAAGTTGTCAGGTATGACAGAGGAGGTACACCCCTATGGATATCTGAACCCAAATATTCGAATGAAGACATACCGTTTTGTGAAGCGTGTATGGGACCGAGACAGTTTGAATTTCAAATTTTACCAACATTATTAAGTTATTTAGATGTTGATAAATTGGATGATAGTCTCGACTGGGGAAATCTTTTAATTTACACATGTAAAAATAATTGTGACGAAGGGCCTGCTTATAAAAAAGAATTTTTATGGAAACAAGACTTGACATGATTGAGAATTTTAATTTTACCCACAATGATAAAACTACTTAATAAATCATTTTTAAAATTTATCGAGTATTTCGTGAGAATGAAAATCGAATGTTGTGAAATGTGCATCCCGACTTAACAAAATGATTTTTAAACTATTTTTATCATTAAAAACCTGTTTTAAATATGATTTGCGCCCAAAAATTTAAATTTAATAAATATAAAGAAGAAAAAAGAAGAAAAAGAAAAAAAAAAGCAATGATATAGATATGATTTTTTTTTTTTTTTTTTTTTAGATGAATGGTACCCAATGAATTCTAATAAACTGAAATAATATGGTAATAATTTGATTTTTATAATATAAATTAAAAAATTACTTGGTTTTTTTTTTTTTTCCCCGTCTCATTGGCCCACGACGCCTCCGTTAATATCTTCAATCATTTAACTTTTTTTCGTCGAGAAAAAGTTTGCAAGAAGTTTTATAACGGATCCGAATCTTTCACCTTTTTGTAACGATTCTTGAATCCATTGTGGTAAAGCATTTATACATTTTGTTTTAGAAAATCTTTGGTCGATTAATAGTACGGAAGCATAATCGTTTTTATGGCGCACTGATCGTCCTATGCTTTGATTCACAGCCTTCATGCACAGATTTTCATAGTAGACTTTTCCCGCCAACATCCCCTAAAAAAAAAAAAAAAAAGAATTTTTTTTTTTTTTTTTAGGGGGCACAATTACACACGCACAAAACCATCGAAATTTATTTTATTCGTTAATAAAAACTTACCACGGTTTGATTTAAATAATTCATTTTTTCTTTAAGTTCCGGATTAGTTAAATTCGGATATGGCAAACCGACGACGATGATGCAACGTCCCAAATCGTCGTTGAAATTTAAACCTTCGCTCAATTTCCCGCCAACAACGCTGAATAGCAAAGCTCCTGTTTTTTTCACAGCTTCACTGTAATCTCTTAAAACTTCATCAACTTTATTTGTTTTTTTAGGTTCCCGTAAAACCTAAAAAAGTTTGGTTGTAAAAAAGGATGTGGGATTTAGAATGTTCTAGATTACTAGCTTCTTAGGTTTCCCACAAATAAGACTCATTTCTCAAATAATGCGCCCAAAAACTAACCTTTTTCTTCTTCAGTAATTTCATTATAACTCCAGTTTTTTCAAAATGTTGATAGCTAAAATTTTCATATTCGTAACTTGGAAAAAAACAAACAATTCCAGCTGGTACAACGTTACTAATATTGACAAGGAGTCGACCCAGTTCATCCAAAATCTCAACGTTTTTCCGATTTTGATAGGAGAAATCAAATACTTTTCCCGTGGGACCAGATGGAACTATTATTGGTAGAATATTTTCCTTCGAAACTACGTGTCCACAAGTGAAAACTTTTAAACGATCGGGACTTCCACCAGCCAAGTAAAAAAGTTGATCTGTGAATTCGGAAATTGGTTGCATAGTCCCACCGGCAAGTATCACGGATCTGGAATTTTAATTTTAAAGTGAAATAAATACTTTAAATCGATGGATCATGTTTTAAAAATGGATTACCTTGCATTTTTGACAATATCTTCAAAATGTGATGCGGGATTAAGTAAAAGAAATTTTAATGTTGACGTTCCAACGGTTTTATTTATAGTACAAACGATTCTCCCGTCTAAACAATGGTTGGTTAATGAGTGCAAAAATGTAGTGACGTTAAAAAGAGGATTTCCTTCGATGATTTCATCTTCTGCTTCAGGTTTTTCCTCAAAATCTGCAAATTTTTATAATTATTTTTTAATTTAAAAGGGTTTAAATACATAAAACTTATAGAATTAATCGATATGAAATGACTAACCTCCTTTTTTAGCAGACAGTTTTTTTAAAAATGCAGAAACACCTTTATTTTCTTCTTTTTTATGTAAAATAACCGAGGGTTTATATTTTAAAACAAAACCACGAAGTTTATTCACAATATTGCTTTTAGTTATAAATTCTAATATTTTGTAAAAATTAATTGTGTCTATCTCTGTGGAAGGAATGAATTCTGCCAAAGTTTCTAAAGTTATTTCCGTTTTATCATTCGACACTGCATTAGGATGCACTCCATCTTTTCCACCGATTTTCATAAATAATTTTTTCACAATAAAAATTAACTAAAATACAAAATTTTAAATGCTTGTAAGCAAACTTCAGGTAATTATTTCATAAATAATTCTTTAATACCTGATTTATATGAAGTAAATTTATAGCTGAAAATCTATCACTGTATTTTTCTTTATACTGTACAAGTTGACTGTATGAAGCAGCCAGATCATAACCGCTAATCGAACAACTGTAAATGTTTCCTATCGCATCTAATAAATTATGAGCTTCATCGATGATGACAACTGAATCTTTTAAATTTATACCGCAAGCTTTTCTCGTACTGTCATGTAAAATTGTATTGTATGGGACAATTATAACTTGGGCATCATCAACTGCATATCGAGAAGCATAATATGGACATCCATTAAATTTATTTCCTTTGTGTAATAATTGTTCTACGTCTAGAATTTCCGACAAAAGTGTATGTTTCAAATCTTCAATGTTAGAGTGATTGTAATATGGACACCCAGTATTTGCTTTTTGTCTTTTTAATACTTCTCCTTGAAGAAACATTTTTAAAATTTAGCTTATTTGAAATCTATGATATTCAAAAATTGTAATGCAGTAAATTTTTACCATTTTCTGAAGTTTTGGTGGTTTTACTTTTATTTTTATCGTGTAGTTCTTGACATTTTTCATTAATCAAAGGTAAATGTTTTAGTTTTAGAACATTTTCATTAATACAATAATTCTGTCTCGAAGCCAATGATGCGACCCTAATTTTTAAATCATTGTAAGGACTTTTTTGAAGTTCCCTAACAAGTTGAGATAATTGAGAATGTGTTCGACTACAAAGAAAAATCTGAAAAAAATTAGGTTAGTTAGGAACAAAATTTGGAATTTTTTTTAAATCACATATTTTTCATTCTTACTTTTAAACCACAGTATTTATCTTCTTCTTCATTTTCCAACTCGGAATCACTCAATACATCACCAAATTTTGTAGCATCATTAGATAAATAATCGTTTAATAAAATTTCATCATCATCATCATCATCTTTAACATAATCATTTTGATTTTCTTTGTCCGTGTCTGAATTGATATTTTGCGATTGATGTTTAGCAAGTTTAGATGCTTTTATTTTAACTTTTTTTGCTTTAGTTTTAATATTTTCTATTCTGTTTTCCATATTTAAAACCCTATTTAACTCATTTTGTAACTGATCCCTTTTATGTCTGAGCTTTGTTAAAGAGGAATGCTCTTCTAACCAATTACTACCCAAGCTTGTATTTTTTAATTCATCGTTTAAATTTTTTATATTTAATTCTAAATCGTTTTTTATTCTTTCCTGAGCATCCAAAAGCCATTTTAACGAGCCACATATAAGTGACATTGATTTACCCTTTAAATAATTTCATTTATAAATTTTCATTCAACTTGTCAAACAAAATGTCGATATATTAAAAAATAACTTACGGTACCCGTCGGACTTTCAAATATTCCCAATTTTTTCCCTTCTAAAGCTTCGTATAAATTTTTCATTAAATCATTTTGAATTAAATACGGATTGAATGGAAAAGGAAATTTTTCAGGTGGATTTAATTTAGTTTCTACTACACTCATTTTGACGTTTCTTTTCCCGCGCTTAAATGACTTTTTTTTTTACCATAGACGTACACATTCAACCGGAAATTAAAGTCAACCATTTCAACACAATAAAACAAACATTTATTATTATCTTCTCAAAAAAATTATTAACCACAAAATAATAACTTATATTTAAAACAGAAACAAAATAATAATTATTTATTTCATTATTAAAAAGTAATAAGAGAAAATTTTACTCGTAAATATTAAATAAAAACGTACTTAAAAATTAATTGTTATGTATCTCTATGACATGTTTTAATATATATATTATTTCAAACGAAAAATTATATATTTTAGTGGAACTAATATGAGAAAAAATTTATATAAAAATAGAAATAAAACAAAATTTCTTCCCGGAATTTATTATTTAATTTATTTTTCCGACATAATTTTAATCACCGAAATATTAAAAAAAAAAAAATCAAAAAGCAGCATGCGGTTAAAGGACGATAGGTAAAAATTAGAATAATGGTAAATTTTGATAACTAACATTTTTTGTTTTTTGTCTTTTTTTTTTTTTTGGTTGTTGTTGTTGTTGGTTAAATAAATAAATTAGAAAAAAAAAAAAAAAGAAATACAAACGATAAAATTACAAAAAAAATAAAAAAAAATAAACGTAAAAAGTATGTGAAAAAAAAAATCAATGTATTTTTTTTTTAACTTTATTTGAATATTTTTCCTTGATTGAATTTTCTACCCTTTTTATCTGTTCCGACCCAACTCAAATATTGCTCAACGAGTTGTTTTGTTTTTGGATCTTTCGGATCCAACTTTTTCCAATCGTAAGATTCGTAATCGACTTGCCAATCGGGAGTAAGCTAACAGAAAAAAAAAAGAAAATAGTTTATTTTCCCACCGAGTTAAAAAACAAACAAACACAATTAAACATGTTTAATGTAAACTAGTATCAAACTTACTTCAAAAGCTAAATTATGTCCTCTCCAAACCCAAACACCGGATATAGTACTGTCATTATCGGCACCGAATAAACAAACAGAAGCAAAGGCATTCTTTCGCATTTTTTCAAGCCTTTGAAACATTCCTAACAAAACAATACATTTTTTTTTTTTTTAAACGTGAAACTTATGGCAATAATAGTTTTAGAATTTCACAAGCGATAACAAAAAACTCTTACCGGTTATTAAATTACAACTCATAAAAACTTTTTTAAGTTCTTCCGGATATTTATATTCTGCAAACCAGATTGAATAATGTTCTGGATCGAATTTTTCCCAAAAGTACGGAATTGATTTATCTACATCTTCGTTGGAGTAACATCTCTTGAAATCATCCATGTCGAATGATCCTTTTGGAATACCCTCGAAAGGATCCTTCGATTTAGGTTCTTCGGCTAATGCCACGTCTGTAGCATCCTTTTCTTCTTCCGCTTGCTTTTTAGGAGTGGGCTCCTTTTTAGTTTCCTTCTTTTTTTCCTTTCCTCCTTCTTTGCCTATTTTTTGTCAACATATATATATATATATAAATATTATAAATTTAAATAAAATAAAATTAAAAAAAAAAGAGCTAAAATTCATTAATGAATCATTGATCTTAACCTTTAGAAAGGCCTTGAAGTTCAGCATATTTCTTGGGATCGGCCTCGGTTGGTTTTTCGCATAACTTTACATTTCCTAGAACCGATTTGACTTGAGTCTGATTCACAATTGTCGTAAACCACCTGTTTACATTTTGAAAAGGCTTTCTACAAGAAAATTATTTTAAAAAAATTAATAAATACTTTAAAATTTATTATATTAATAATGATTGAGAGATAATAAAAAATTTGTATCTGGAATAACTGAGCTACTTCTTCCGGTATTGAGAAGAGTTGCAATGGGGAACCAGAACATTTATTTTTCTTGAGCGTTGAAAAGACTTTTACAATAAAAAAGTCCCTTGAAAAAACACTCAAGAGGAAAAAAATAATTGAAATTGAAAATTTACACTCACCTAAAGTTTGGATCCAACACATTTTGATAAAGATGAAGCAATGTGCAAGCCACACAAATATCGGCTAAAGTTATCCTTTCTCCGACAAGGTAAGTATTGTGTAAAAGATGACTGTTCAAAGTCTTCAATGCAGCTTTTACATCTTCCTTAGCCCTTTCTGTAGCCTGAAATTCATGAAAAATTGAAATTATGAACAATAAGTATTATTTGCTGAAATAAAAAAAAAAAAAAAGACAATTTGAAAAAAAATCATTGTACCTGCTTGTTGACTGGTAGAATACCCAAAACTGGAAACACCCAAGCGCATGAAGCGGGTAAAATTTCCGAATCGGCAAAGCTCAACCATTGAAGAATCAATGCTTCATCCAATGGAGTTGATCCTTTCAATTTTTTATCAGCTACATGATAAGCAATAGCATTGCTCTCGGTTAAAAAAAGCTTTCCATCGCTTGATTCAAAGGCAGGAACCTGTGATAAGTAACAATTACAATGTTAAAATACATTGATAAGATAGAAAAATATTAAGAAGAAAATTTTAGTTAAAAATTATCAGAAATTACTTTTGAATCATTGATTATTCATTAGAGATGTCAGAAAAAGTAATATATAAAACATCATTTAAAATTAATGTTAATTACAATTTTGAAAAATTTTTTGGTACAATTATTATAAATAATATGACAAAAATAAATATCAAAAGGATTACATTATTAAAATAATTATATAAAACTTTGCCACACATATTCTTTAAAATAACCAAGACCATACCTAAAAAATTAATATAAGACTTAATGATGTGGCAATTGGGACAATCATTTAATATCCAAAATTTTCAATTGACTTAATAGTACCGAATAAAATTGAAAACGTTACATTTAACAAATATCCGATTAGTTTTTCATAAATTCAATAAGTAATATTTTAATTAATAATTTCGTTATCTTACGCAAACTGCCAACGAGCAGTCCAATATGGTTTCATTTTATCAAAGTAAGGTTAAATAGTAGGAACTAAATCTAAAACATTAATTCATGAAAATTATAAAATTTTCGTGATAGTTTACCTTTCCAAGAGGAAATTTATCCAAAAAATTCTTCGACTTATTAGTTTCACCGAACACAAAATCAGGAGCTACTTTCACGTGAGCCCCGGAATATTTAGCTGCGATTAAAACTTTATAAGCACGGAAATTTTCCGGGTAAGTGTATAATGTCTACAAAAAAATAAATTAATAAATTTTAAAAAAATAATGAGTTAAAAATTTTATCATTGAAAGCTATTAACCTAACGATGGATTAAGAACTTAAGGATTACTTTTTAATATTTATTTACATACCCCGGACGCCATGTTTAACGCTGCCAGAAAAGATAGAAAAATGTTCTTCGGTGAATAATATTGACGGTGCTTTAACACAGTGTTGCCAAATTAAAAGCACAAAAATAAAACCCGCTTATATATTGTATATACAAATTATATTTTTTAATACCCGCTAAAAACAATTTTTTCTTTTTTTATTTGTTAATTGCGAGTATTATGCAACTATATTTTTAATAAAAACTTTAAAAATTCCATTTACGTAAAATTTTTAACGTTCGGCCTTTTTAAACGTTTATTCAATTTTTTAAATCAAATTTTAAAAGAAACAACATGAAGTTAAAATGATTTAATTTTTAGGTTTTATATTGTATGGTACAATTTCTTTAATTAAAGGTGACTTAGGTATAAATTTATTTATAAAAAAAAAATTTTTTTGTTAACCTCCATGGCCTAATAGCATCGATTAATGTGCAACAAAAATGCAACACTGTTAATGCAAGAGTTTCCGCGGTTTGACTTGTGCGTCTCTAAATGAGTCGGTGTTGTGAATTTTGTTTAAAAAAATTTTTATTAAGGAAAGTATGAATATATGTATACGTGCATTAAAATGAAATTTAAAAAGAGAAAAGTCATTACAGTTTTTAATTAGCTGCTATTTATTGTCTGGTGTCCCCACTTTATTTTAACAAACTGATTTGTGATTGGTTGTTTGTAAAGAAGCCATTTCAAATTGATATGTTTTCAGTGTTAAATACTATTTTCAGCTTTATATAAAGGTAAATAAATGTTTATTAAATTATTCAAATATTAATTGTAAATATTGTATTTAATGCTAATGGTAACTTGCCATTCTTATATATTCGAAAATGACTCTTAATTTTCAATTTTTTCTCGAAACAATGTATATTAATTACTATCTCATTGTGTTGAAAATGGAGATGTATTTTTTAATGAACAAGATTCAGTAAATTTTAAATAATTTGGACAATGCACTTGAAATAAGATTTTTTTTTTTTTAAATATTTTGAATTTATTAATAACTAATCATATTTTCGCATTACTATTAATGGTTATTTGTTTGAAAACTTACAAACACACACACACATATATGCATGCATATATATATGTGGTGAATGCTTAATGCTAACTAAAAATTAAAAAACGTTTCTGATTTTTTTATTTATTTTAATTTTCAGAATTGTGTGATAAGATTTATAGATTTTGCATATATATATATATATTTAAAAAATTTTATATGGATTTTTGGTTTGATTTCTACAAAATTACTCCATAGTTTAAGTTTTAACGAACACAGTATAATAACAAAATGGACACTATGGAAGAAAATGAAACAGTGGACTTAAATAGTGCAAATCAAATTTCTGCAGTCGAAAAGGATAATGAAAAAGAAGTTGATGATGAAAATATAAAAACTAATATTCCTAGTGAAGATAAATCGGAATTATCGAAAGGTGAAGAAAATGCATTTGTTAGTGACATTAATAATTCTAATGTCAACAATGTTAGTGATAACGATTGTACAAAAGTGAATTCTGATGGAATGGAAGTTACATCTGAAGAAAATAATGAGGCTGCTGATACTGAAAATTCTAATTTAAAAACAGTAGATGAACCAGTAGAGAATTCAGTTAATGAATTAAAAACCACGAGTAAGATATTGTTTTAATTACTTCATTAGTTTTAGTAAATTTATAAATATATATATATATATTAAAGTAATTTTTCATTTTTAAGGTAATTTAGAAAAAGATGTTTCAGATGAGTCTGAAACTTTGGTTAAAATGGAAATTGATTCTGAATTAAATGAAAAAAATTCTGAAGAAATTTCTGATATTAGGTCTTCTGAAAACTTTGTCGATGAAGAAAATAAGTGTAAAATCGATGAGGAGGAAGAAGATTTCAAAGGTTTTCCTATAATAAATGATGAAATACAAAATCAGGATTTAGTTAAGAATTTGTCTCAAAAGGAAGAAGATGAATTACAAGAAATGGAAGTTTTTATTAATAGAAAAAATGAAACAAAACTTTCCCCTCAGGCTAAAAGAAAAAGAAAGGAAATTGAAGAAAGCGATTTATCCAGTCATTGTAGTAGTCCTGCCTTAAGTGTAGCTTCTCAAATTAGTGTTTTAAGTTTTACAAAAAGAAGTCGAACCGGTAGTCCTGCATCAAAAGGGTTTGTGTCTTTAAAAAAAAAAAAAACAAATAATTTTTTTTTTTTTTTTTTTTTTTTTTCAAATTTTTCTTAAAAGCAAATTCAAAAATTTTATTTATTTTATTTATTTCAAAGGTCGAGAAAATCATTAGTAGATTTATCAAATCCAAAATATTTAGTTCCATTTGATTTTGGTTGGAAAAGAGAAGTTGTCACTCGAGCTATAACTTCAAAAGAAGATGGAATCAGTAAAGATGTTTATTATTTTCATCCTTCGGGAAAAAAACTAAGATCTCTGAGAGAGGTTTCAGAAAAATGTGAGTTGAAAAAAAAAAAAAAAAAAAAAAATGAAATTTTTCATTTAAGTAATGATAATCAGTAAAATTATTTTTATTTTTTATTGTTTCTTTAGTGACGCCTGGTTTGACAATAGAAAATTTTACATTTTACAAAGAGCCATTGGGAGCGGATCCACAATTTGAAACAATTAGAAATGCAAGAAGTCGAGGGTATTCTCCATTTGAAACGGCAACTCCGAAAAAAGTATTAGGCACGCCTTCGGTTATAAAAACACGTTCGGAAAAAGTTATTTCCGAAACTCCAGTTTTAAAAGACGCATCTTTAAAAGAACCTCCGTCACCTCCGAAGGATTCACCGAAAGCAACACCGTTGAAAAATTTCGTTAAAACTCCTAAAGAGCCAGCTGTGACGAAACCACCGCCTTCGAAGAGAGAAAAACTCGTACTTAAATTTAACAAGGGAACTCCAAAGATCGCTTTAAAGAAATCACCAGCCGTAAACGGAGGTTTGTACGGATTTGTTTGAACCTGATTCGATATGTCATATAATATTTTAATATAATTACGTAATTAATTTACAGAACGAAAGTCTCCCAAATTAATGTTACCCAAACCTGAGGGACCCAAGCCTCATCCGAATGCGCCGTCGGGTCCACGAAGAAAAATAACACCTCGTAAAAAGCCTTTGAAAACATTAGGTAGTGCTAAGGAAGAAATAAAAGGACCATTGAATAAATTAGAAAGTGGAGATTTGGAAATGGGTATGCTTCCGCCATTGTGGAGTCCCACAGCCGGGAGCACGAAAAGCTCAAGCAACGAATCATTATCGTGGAGTCACTTGGACGAAGAGAAGTATGAATTCATTTTTTTTTTTTTTTTTTTTTTTTGACTAAATTTATATATATAATTGAAAAAAAAAAAAACCTTTTAATTTCTAACTCTTGAGCATTGAAAAAAATTAATGAGAGTTTTTTTTTGAATGAAATGAATTTTTTTCATCGCTTAAGAGTTTTTAATTGGAAAAAAAATTTTGTGTTTATTATCATTCGATAACTTTTTATTGCTAAAATCTCAATGTTGTATACATTAAATAATATTTATCTTTCCTTATCCTTTCCTTTGTTTTCCGTCTTCAATTAACCATTTATTTATTTATTTATTTATTTTATTTTTTTTATTTTTGTTTCAAAATTTTCATTTTGAAACGTTTATTATCCACGTTGATTTTTTGTTTTTCTTTTCTTTTTTTTTTTTTTTTTTTTTTTTTTTTAAATAATTTATTTAAAATAACTGTAAATAATTTTATTCCTTAGATTGAATACGGATGACACAGTGATTTATTATTATTATTATCATTATTTATTTATTTATTATTTTTAAATTATTTATAATTAAAATGTTTCCAGTTTTCCTTGAGCCTTTTTTACACTTTGCAAAATGAAAAAGAAAATTTTTTTATTTTTTTTGTTATTGTTGTCTCAAGCTCAAATAAGATTTATTAGAATTCTGGAAACATTTTTATTTTCATTATTATTATTATTATTATTATTTTGTACTTTCCTATTTATGTTGACAAACGTAGTCATACTTCTTTTCGTTAAGCTTTTTGTCATTGTTAAATTATAAATAGAAGCATAAACGAAGAGGGAAGAATGGATCCTTGTACGATTAGGTGCACTAAGGCAATGGGATTAATCCCTACTCTTCAATGCAGCGTTTGTTTGTGCCTATATCATCCCGAATGCTGTGACATGGCATCATCATCCTCATACCGACAACTTTTGAAATACGTTTGCAAGGTAAATTATAATTATATCCTTATTATATTTTATTTGAAACCTTTTTTTTTTTTTTTTTTTCGCATCATTTTTCACTCGTCCTTTTAAAAATGGTTTCCTGTTATTAAAAAATAAATGTAAAATTTCATGTTTTTCAGAATTGTAAAACGAAAGTCAGCGAGGTGAAATCGAGAAATTTAGTTAAACACATAACACCTGCTGTCGTTACAGATAAGAATCCTCCCATAATATCTCCAAAACCCATACATCCGGCTTTAACTCCTTCGCCGACAGCACAATCAAACGCCAACAATAATCGCATTCCTTCTTTGATTCGTCCCAAAATGCCGGTATCGAAATCTTCTATCGGCGGTGGAGGAGGAAGTGGAGGAGGAGGAGGAGGAGGGGGTGGAGGTGGTGTATCCCCTTGGTTTCCTCCATCCAATTCCGTTTTTCGATCTCCTTCCGTTCTTCCGAAAAACTATCAAACCAAACCCGAAGACTCTGCTTCGCCACCTCAGGCTCTTGTAAATATGAACAACAAAAGGTATATTGTAGTACCCAAAAATAACGTTCTCTCGGTTGCTTCCAATCAAAATCAGTCACCGACAAAACTAGAGCCTTCTCAAAGTACAACCATAATTACTCCCACCCCGACTTCGACAATCATTCAAGGTCCACCTTTGCAAAATAATCCTTTCGTACAGCCCGCCGCGAATTCGCCAGGTGTCGTTCTCGTGCCTTTCATGTCGGGAGACAATACCGAAGTCAATCAACAACCTTTTCTGGTTGTTAATCCTTCACCCGGCTCGTCGGTCATACCGAATTCTAGTCAAGCTGATCTCCCAACCGAAAGCGAAACAACCGATCACTTTCAGTAAGTATTGATGATTGAATTTTAATTCGTTGAAAGTGTGTTTAATGGAATAAAAAATAATAATAATAATAATAATAATAATAATTTTTTACGAGTGGTTAATAAAAGAAAAATTTATTTTATAATTGTAGAAAGCAGGCGGTCAAGGCACCCAATAAAAGACCATCATCAGATGGAGGCAACGAATCCATGCAAAAATTCATGAGAAATATCTGCATTGGGTGAGTGGGGTAAAAAAAAAGGAAAGACAACAAACAAACAAACCGATGGATGAAAAATCAATGTTTTTTTTTTTTTTTTTTTTTTTTTTTTTTTTTTTAGTATAGAACAAAACAAAAAAAAAACCTGCCACAAAAGATGATCGATTGATGATGCTTTTGTTTTATTTATTTGATTTATTATTATTATTATTATTATTATTATGATTATTATTATGATTATTCCATACCTTCGCTCTGTGTCATCCGTAGTTTGCATTGTTTCATTGTATTATCATAATCAATTTGAAAAATTAATTTGTGTGAAACATGAACGTCGTATAGAAGTATAGAGTAGTAGCCGTCACAAATGTGTGTTGATTTAAACGACTGACCCACTGACTGTGTTACCCCGCCCCCCCCCTTTCCCCCTCCCCCCGAGATGATACTCACCTCGAGGTGTTCGAATATTAGCAGATAAGAGAAATTTATTTATTTTATTATTATTATTATTATTATCGATTGTGGGTCACAGTATTTGGGAAGTAGTCGAAATCAGTCATCTTTTGTGTCAGCTACTATTATCTATTAAATATAATTTATGTATATGTATATATATATATATGTATAGGATTTGTCGGTTGTCGATTAATCGATCGATCGATCGATCGATTAATCGATTATTATTATAGGGGGGGAGGGGAAATCTCCCGATAATCTATCATTTTAAGAGTGGATATATATATATATATATGTATACATATGCATAAATTAATTAATTTTCAAATTGATTCGATTTTTTTTTTTTTTTACTACCACATTATTATTTCAGTAATGAATCAGTATTATTATTATTATTATTATTATTATGTTGTTAAATTGTCGGGAAAAAATTATGTAAAAATCGTGTATTCGATTTAATTATTTCAGTTATTCTGCATTACTCAATGTATTCCAGTACCTTAAAGTTCAAGAATTGTTGAGAGCGGGTCGCGTTTGTCGATTATGGAGAGATTTGGCAAGTCATTCATCGCTGGTGAGTTTTTTTTTCTTTTCTCGGGGGGGGCGTGGAGGAGGAGGAGGAGGAGGGGAGAGGGGGAAGGGAAGGATGAATTCGAAAATGAAATTGTTGTGTGTTTTTCTCTTTCAGTGGCGAACCGTTCGAATGAAAAATTCGCAAGTTTCCGATTGGAAAGGTTTCACGGATTCCCTTTCCCGTCACGGTACGAAACACCTCGACCTTCGTAAAATGTTAATGTCACTCGACGACGCTCAAGAAATGTGGGGACTCTTTGCTAAACACATATCCGGAGTGAAATGTTTGGAAAGATTGGACATGTGCCGGTGTTCCGTGAACATCGTCGTACAAGTCATGGAAGCATGTCCGCAATTGTTTGTTTTCAACGCTCAACAAATGATCGGTTCCAAGTGAGCGTCCAATTCGTTTTGATGGACGACTTTATCATTATTATTATTATTATTATTATTATTAATTTTCTCCTGCTTTTCAGAGACGAAATATTAAATCAAAAATTATCGTTGGAAAGTTTGTCGAAAATGAAAAATTTAAAAGAATTGAGATTGAAAAGTTTTTGCGGACTTCATTTGACGGATTCTTTGAAATCGTTGACGGACCTATCGGACACTTTGACGACGCTGTCTTTGACGTCGGTGAAAAATTTAGGGACCTGCAAATTACAATACATTGGAATGCTGCAAAATTTGGAAGCTTTAGAATTGGGAGAATGTAACGATTTGCCGGAAACATTTCCAAACGAAGTCATAGCCAAGCTCACGACATTGAAAAGGTTCGGGTTCGATGAAACAGGAATGAAACAAAATCGAATCGAAACGTTTTATTGTATTTATTGAATTTTTTGATGTTAAATTTTATCCCGCAGGATAAGGTTGGAAAAAGGACCGTGGAATTGTTCGACGAACGAAATGCTTTTTCAAATGAGCAAACTCAAAGAATTGATACAATTGGAATTGATCAATTTCGATGTGAGACCTGGTTTCGATAAAGCACTTGCCTCTTGTACAAACATTAAACGCCTTTTATTAATACCGACATACGTCACTCAGGTTCGTACCGGGGGGGAAAAAGGAGGAGGAGGAGGGGAGAGGGGAAAAAATATTTTTCGAAAAGGATTTTAAATTTAAAATGATTTAAATTTCCATTTTTTTAGTCAGCGACAACGAACAACATTATTTTATCTGGGACATATAAGCTGTATAAATCATTGACTCTATTCGTTTGGGTCGTCACGATGGAATTGTTAAAAGTCACGGAGCTTTTCGTGGATCAGTGCGAAGGAAAGGGATCTAAAAAAAGCGGGGGCAACAGCGTTCCTGTACGTACCCCCCTTCATTTTTTAAACCCAAATTGTTGTTGTAAACGAGTCGTCTAATATTAAATTTATAATCGCAAACAGGTATTGAAGCCAGTGCCATTGCCCGCCGTCACGCAAAAAGATGGTGAAAATTCGAAAAAGGAGGATGAGGAGGGAGGAGTTAAAAATCCCATGCCGATAACGATAATACCAATCGATGAATTATTCGTCATGCTGACGGAAGGTTTGCCAACGACGAAAGTTAAATTACTTAAAATACCATTTCAAAACACTTGGCGTCAAAGTATTACCGAAGGCGGGGGTTCAAATTAAATTAAATTAAATTTAATTGAATTGAATTTCATTAATTTTAAATAACTGTTTTATTTTATTTTATTTTATTTTTTTTTATATATATAGAATAATAAGTTTAAAATTTAGACTACGAAAATGTTTTTTTCTTTTTTTTTTTTTTTTGTTTTTTTTTTTCAAAATCAAATTTCTCCTTTCTTTAAAAAAATTTTTGTATAAAATAAAAAAAACATTATTGAAATAAATTAAGTGTATTTTATTATTATTATTATTTTGAATGATGATTGATTGATGAAAATATTAAATTTTTTTTTAAATTTTCAAAAAAGATTTTTGACAATTATAATGATGATGATGATAATGATGTGTGTGGAATAAATATTTTTATGTTGGAAATCGAAAAATTTTTTTTTTTTATATTAAATACTTTTTAAAAAAAATTGTTTTTTTTTTTTTTTTTTGTCATTTTCATTATCGATTTGTTTAAAAAAAAAAAAATTTTTCAACAGAAATGTTTATAAAATGTGATGGAAATTTTTTTATATTAATGATAAAATGTGTACAAAAAATTAATTTGTCGAATTAAAAGTTTTATTTTTTTTTTTTTTACATTTTAAAATTACAGTTTGTATAAGTTGCTTCGACAAAAAAAAAATGGAGGAAAAAACTAAACGATTTGTACAAAATTAATCGTTGAGTTTATTTTTTTATACTTAACAATTACAAATCGATAAATATATATATGAAAAAATTAATATTTATTAAACAAATATTAAAATCCTTTACTTAATAACCACTGTTCAACATAATACACATAATCACCTTTGATATGTATTTTACAATTTCCTTCGTGTACAATTGAAAATATTCTCGGTTTTTTAGTTACATTATATAAATGTTGTTGTAATTCATTGTATAAACCCCATATATCTCCTCTTATCTTATTTATAACTGTTATTTTACCATTTCCTCTTTTTGGATATTTAAGATAAACTGGTAACATGTAATTTCTCGATCTTTCAACAAAATATGGAAGATTTAACGATTCCTCTGTGGACAAAAAAAAAAATTTTTTGTTTATGTTAGATTGTAAAATGTGTTTTTTAATTTACATTTTAAATACCTTTCATGGGTCTCCAACCTGAAGGATAAATTGATTTATTTTCAGGTACTGGCACTGATGAAAAAGGTAATAATTTTTCAACATGAGACCATTCTTGAGGATCTTGTGTTACTTCATATTCGTAATCAGTGTCATGTTCTTTTTTTAATTGTAAATGTTTGAAAAAAAAATTATTTCTGCGGCTCTTAAATAAAAATAACATTTTTAAATTTTAAAATAACATAACATTTTGTTTATTTTTGTAAAAGGTTAGGAATTGACTTATGTTATTATTTATGATTTCAATTTTTGAAAAATTAAAATAAAAACTAATAACGTAATTAGATTATTATGCGGCATTTAATACAAAATAAATGATTCAATTGATAGTTTTTTTTATGCCGAACAAGTTTCAGTATCAATTATGTAATTATTTTATTTATAAACATCAATTGGAGTAAAAAAAGTAGAAAATTTTCCGACAATAATATATAATTTTCCACCATCGAATACTATTTTTATCGTTGTTTTACTCGATTTAAGTATATCGAACAAACGATTTTGCTTTAATAAAATGTTAAAAATATCATTTTATCCTTACATTAATTAAAACGCATTGTTTTTGAAGTAAAGATTTAGAAAAATTTGTATTAAAACTACTCAGGGCTCTGGAAAGTCTGATGGTATAAGTGGCCATTTTGTAAAACTAATACTGCTGCCAACTTTTTTTTTCAAACTTGAGGAAGTTAAGGCGCATATTTTTATTAAAATACGTTTTGCGGTTATTAAATTAAAATTATTTTAACTTAATTTATATATAATGAAAATGTTTAAACATTTTCATGAGTACAATTAGTGAAAATAAATGTATTAAGGGCGTGGAGTGAGAACGAGTTAGTGTTTCCGGTTTGGAAGGCTGTGTTCAGAAAAGAAAAGGAAGCCTAAAAAATACAGTGATTTGTGTTCTCAGGTATTTCTGAAGCGTTTTTGCCAGTGAAAATGTGAAACAAAATGTGAATATTATTTAAATAATTAATAATAATTTATCTGAGAACGATATAATTGTTTTATTATGGATGTAAGGACTAAATTGTAGAGGTAAACAAACGACCAAACACAATATCAAGTTCTTTCCTTGCGGACATCTTTTGTTTATGACGATTATCCGGCCATTTGGGGTTGTTGACTGTCATCATATAATTTTCCACACATTACGTGTTGAAATTTTACCTTTTATATTTATTTATTATATTTAATACATTCCATTGAACTCGTTCGAATTTTTATAAAATTTATTCTCGTGTTAAAAAAACATGGGGAAAATTAATTTTAATTATGATTTTTTTTTTTTTTTTTTACGTGCAACAAGTTGGTGTCGAAGCTTCTTGTAAAATTTTATATAAAAGATATTTTTTTTTTTATAAGATGACTGCTTTTTAACTTGCTCAACTTGGTCAAATGGGTTTTTGTACGTTCATATTTTTCATTGAAATTTTCATTGCTCGCGCATTTTCATTATTTAAGTTGACGTTTGGGAAATATTATTACATTATTATTATTATTATTTATATTATTTTTCACTTTTTATTATTTAAATATAATATTTTAAATATTATAAATTAAATTAAATTAAATATTCTCAACCCCCTGTTTTTTTTTTTTATATTTTTTTATATTTGGATTAATGCCAAACACAGATTGCAGCTTTTATATGACCTTGGAATGAATTATTACATTTTTAGCCAGAAAAATATTTATTTACATGTCACGTTATACTATTATCATTTAAAAATGGTGAAAATTTCAAATTACCTTAAATTATAATTTCATTTTATATATTTTTCATTCTTTTAATAAATATAAAAAAAAAAAATTATTTTCAAATTAATTATTTTAATTTACTTCACACAAAAAAAATTATTACACTACATATACATTATGATTTTCCTCGACTTTAAATTAGTTTTATAATTAAATATTATATTATTTTTCACTCCAATCTGTTTTCTTTTTTCTGTTTTTCCTCCAAAAAATAATAATAATAATAACTATTTCAACATTATTTATGAAATAATACATTGATTTAAATTTGTTATTATTTGTTATTCGTTAAACAATTTCATTATGCATAACTTTAGGTAATACATAAATAAATATTTTTAATTGTTTCAATTGATTGTAGTCAATAAAAAATATGTATAAATATGAAAAATAATTTATTCTAATTAATTTTTTTTGATTAAAATAAAAAAACAGCCATGAATTTTATTTCGATTAAATCGATTTAATTAATTTAACCAGGAACGATTATGTTGCATATCGTACAATCTCAATATTGTACAAAATATTATTATCAATTATTATTATTATTATTATTAATTAAAATAAGTGTTGGAATCATGATAAATATATTTATTATCTTAATATGTTAAAATTTATACTTGATGTCGAGAAAATAAATACAATAATTTAGTCGAAACATGGATTTTATCATATATTTATATACAAATTTGAAATATTATAATTTTAATATATAATATATATATATATATATATATATATATATATATATATATATATTAATAATATAAATTTGATTTATTTATTTTCAGATATGGCTGCAAAAGAGAAAAAGTTAACAGTCACAAAGCATCTTAAGGATAATCAAGGGGAAAAAGATAAACCACCTGAAATCCAAAAAGGGAAACGTGGTCGAAAGCCGAATTCCGTTACTGACGTGAAATTGTCTCCAGAGCAGAAAACACCACCAGGAAGGAAAAAAAGAAAAGAAAATGTTCAAGATGGCCGTAGTACGCCGGTTTCGAAGAGAGCAAGGAGATCCATTGTCGACCAAGATGAAAGTAATTTTGCTGCTAAAACCCCACCACCTTCGGGTCATCATAAGTTTAAAAAAGCACATTTGGAAAAAGAATTGGGCGACCTTTTGGAAAATGCCACGGGGCGAAACACGCCTTTACTCCCTAGGAATAAAAAAATAAATGAGAAAGAAGAGGAAAGTGTAGATAGTGCGGATGAAAAAAGTGGTGGATTATATATAAATAAGACTAGAAAAAATAATAATAATGAAAAAGACACGGACGACGAAAATGTTTCACTTAAAAGTTTTTCAACTCTTTTACGAACGAGGAAAAATGTAGAAAATAAAGAAGTTGAAGATGATGTATTGTCCGTTAGAAGTGTTAACTTAAAATCTAAAAAGGTAGAGGCTAGTGAAGATGATTCATCGTCTATTAGGAGTTTGCTCCGTCCAAATATCGTTAGTAAACCTGGTCGGAAAAAGAAATGCGTTTTGACGGCGATAGCGGTTAAGAAAAAAATATTCATTAGAAGAGGGAGACCAAAGAAAACAAAAGACATAGTCGAGGGAAAGGGTAAACATATGGAAGAGAAAAGAGTTGGAAGAATTAAGGTTATGGATAAGAATATAGGCGAACCAAAACAGAAAAGAATTATTAAGAAACCGTTGAAATTTCAAAGTAAAATGAAAAATGATCAAACTAGGTTGCGTTCAAGCATAGCGCTCAAAAATCAAAAATTAGAAAAGGCTAAACTTAAGTTGTCTGATAAACTTCAAGTCAACAAGCAGAAATCTGATTTGGATGATGTCATTGTAGACCAATCAAGCAAAGAAAGACTGAAAAACGAGGGTCAATCTGTAACCTATGCAAAATCGGATACCTCGGTTTTGTCAGATGCGGACTGCGAAGTATCAAAGAAAAAGAAAAGTGGAATGCGTAAGAGAAAAATGCGAAGCGATGGAAGAAACGAAGATATCAATTCGGAAAATTCTGATAAAACTAGTGATATATATTTCTTTTCGGATGCGGAAGGTGCCAACGCTCAGGAATCCGTAGGCAAGAATAAAAGTGGGAAAATACTTAGGCACGTTCAGCAAAAGGGAAAAGTCGGATCGAAGAAAAATTTAAATGCTAGAAAACAAAGACGAGAGAGCGGTCTTCATTTTGAGACGACGAGGTCACCAGATGATTCTTCCGTCATGATTGTTCATCCGAGATTTGGACCAAAAATAAAAGGAGCAAAACGTTTGAAGCCCATCTTACCCAAAACGGATGAAGTCAACAAACAAACCAAAAATGCAATCGCACAAGATTTAATGTCGGCAAACGCTTTGTCGAATTCTATAGCTACGGGAAATTTAAATTTTAATCAATTAGGAAACTCTTATTTTGTTCAGTCTATACCAAATTTTAATTTATTTACTGCTAACTCTCCCATAATTAGGAATTATAATTCTAAGACGACGACGACGGCGGGGAAAAATTTCGACGGAAACTTGCCTGGAAACAATACCGATTTGCCTTATTCTGAAAATGGCGATTACGCTATAGCATCTTACGGCTCGAAAATACCACCGAACGAAATTATAATCACTCCCGGTGGCGGCATTGTGCTGTCGGGAAAGGGAGTGGTTCCTTCAAATGCTCAGAATCCATCATCCGTTTGCTTCAACGGTTCCAACTCGAATTTTTCTATGGAAGCACCAAACGGTGACATTGTGTACACTTCTCACGAGTCATTGAATGGAGTCCTCGAACCCGGAGTCATTTATCAAAATAACAACAAAAACCTGATTCAGCCGCTGTCTTGTTCCAATTCTAACGCCGCCTTTTATTTAAAAAGACCGGAATCTATGTCCACGTCTCTCAAGAGCGCCGTATCGGACGTTTCCCTGTCGAATCCCGACATAAGTTCAAATGGAAATTTGAAAATGAATAATTCTAAAACTCAATCAAACTGCAATACTTCGACAGACATCATCGTATCGGAAAAAGCATTGGAAGGAGATTGCCTAGTGACGGCAGAAACATCAGCGACGAGTAGTTTCAAAGGCATTTCCAAATTGGACTGCATACCTAGCATACCGGTTGCGAAAAACGTCAACGACTTGATCATGTTAAAAAACAAAACGATTTTAGAACTTCGAAATGTCGAAAGGGAAAAAGAATCGAGTCGATCGAACTCGTTAACGAACGCATCGAGTAGGCACTTGCAGGGAGTGCCTAACATTTTGAGAGAAACTAATTTGACTGCCGACGAAAAGGTGAAATTGGAAAAATTTCAGAAAAAATCGAAGAAGAGGATTTTGAAAAACGTTCGACACGTTTTCGGTTCGAGTTCCGATTTAACATTTTCAGAGCCGGAGTCGAGTAACGGTGTCGAAAAGGAAGATGTTAAAGAATTGTACAAAACGATCTCTTGCGAGCAATTGAAAAAATCCGCTCAATTCGTAGAAAGTAGTCCCAAAGTTCTTTTGCAGTTGGGAAGCGAGCCCATAACAATATCGTATTCGTTGGCTCCCTACGAAACTGCGAGCATGTTATTAGTTACTAAAAAAGAAAAACTAGAAGAGAAATTAGACAGAGAAGAATGGGATGTGTTGAACCGTTCGCCCGATGTCAAAGGAGCCGTAGACGTCTGTAGATTTTCCAAGGAAAACGAAGAAGCTTTAAAAGAATTGGGATTGGATTCGGATTTGGAACAGACGAAATCGGACATGGACGCAGAGTCGCCGGTCAAAAATGCCAAAAACGACGAATTAGAATTAAATTATGTGAAAAGCAATTCGTCAAAGATGGGTAAGAAAACGGTTGCGGGTGGTGATGAGGCGAACAACGTATTAAAGGAAATGCCCGTAAGAAAAATGACCAACTGTTATGGCTCAGGGGAAAGTTTCAACACGTCTCCGAATAATAGGATCGGCGTGAAAAGTTTACTGGTATTGAAAAACAGCGATTACTTATCGGTATCACCGTCTAAACCCCCGACAGTAATCGATAAGCTTTTGGAAAAAAATAAATCGTTGAAAAGAGCCGAACAGGAAGGAAAGTCGTACAATCAAAATTATAGGGATTTATCGGAAAATTACGAAATGATGGAAGTTCGACCGCGGAAAACGTTTAGGGAATTGAGGACGAGAAAATTTATAAAAGGTGGAGGAGGAGATTCGAGGCGTGGATCTCACAAGAAATACATTGTCGAGGATCAAAATTGTAAAATATACGGTCGGAGGGGTTCCAATCCGGAAATGTATTCGAGCAATTACCTGATGGTCAACAGTCAAATCTCAAACGAAAACGTTCCTCTGAGAAGAATAACCGATCCCGAGGGTAGAAAGTTTCAAAGGAGAGGTTCGATGGATTTCGATTCGATGCAAAAAGTACTCGATCGGAGGTGTTCGTTGCCGACGGTTTCGTCGGATCCGACGAAATTGTCGAGAAGTTTAGAAGATGTAAATAAATTAAAGACTGAAAATGTAAAAACGATCGTCATAAGTTCGAGCAAACCCCTGTCGAGCAGCAAAAGCAAGGGAATGGAAAATCATCAACCGAGAGTGATCAACATCGTGACGAGCAATAACGGTTTGAAAAAGGGGAAAAACCTCATGGAAGAAATAGGTTTGGGATTGAATTCGACGACGACAGATGATGATGGCGGCGGCGGCGGCGGCGGCGGGTACGTGAACGGGGATAACAAATCCGGGAGAAGAGCATCCGTGGAAAGTTCGAATTCGGAAACGGAAAATTTACAAAAATTACTAGACGGTTTATCCGATGTGAATTCGGAGGATAAGCTATCGAGAAGAAGTCAAGTGCCTTATTACGAAGGGAAAAGGAATTCGATGAGAGAAGACAAAATGAGGGTCTCGATCGAGAGGAGGAAAAGTTTGGATGAGAAAGAAAAGAAAAATGTCGTCATCGAAGAGAGTCCAGAAGATTTGGTGACTAAGGAAACAATACTAAGTGCCTTGGGTAAGTTTTTTTTCTTATTTTTCTTCTCCCCTCGTTTATTTATTTTCTAGATAAATAATTTTTTAAGTTCAGGTATGGCTTATCGTTATGCGACCTTGTATACCTGTTTTTTTTTTTTTTTTTAATTGATTTTTCCGTTTTGTTGTTGTGTAATCAAAGGTGGAAAACTGATGCGTTGTAATTAACTATACATTTTTTCGATTTATATGATATGAAATTTAAATTTTCCTTTCGTTTTTCTTTTGTTACCTTTCACAAAGGTTTGCAATCGTTAAAAGCAGCTGCGGAAAATGCTAAGAAAAAGAGAGAAAATCAAAATAATAACCTTTGTCAAACGGGAAGCGGAGGAGGTGGTTACACGGGAACTCTTAAAGCCGTTATTAAAATTCAAAGGCAGGAAAAAAAAGGAAGTTCTAAAAGTCCAATCAAAATGGTATACAAAGCTTCGAGTAGCAGTTTTTCGGTTAGCGGTCAATTGGAAGATTTTAATAATTTTGACGAAAGCGAAATCACTTCGAGAGAGGTAAAAAAATTTATCACATTTTTATCTTTGGGTTCTCTCGCCCCCCCCCCCCCAACTTTTATAAAAAAGAAAATGTTTGCTCGTGGACAAGTTTCCCTTGAAACAAAAGGAACTTTGTTTTTTTTTTTTTTTTTAAGGACGCTGAAGAGAGTACTTCCGAAGACAATAAAAACGGAAATGGTAAAGCTAAATCGTTGGTGATACCGGAAAAAGCATCATCATTTTCCATTCATCCGGGACGAATGTGTTCGGATGTGTGCACGTATTGTTTTGGAAAATTCGGTTTGTTGGATACTCCCTGTCACATAGCTCAATTGAAAGATGCGGATAAGAGGAGAAATATTTTAGCAAGTATGTAAAAAAAAAATATGAAAAAAAAAAAAAAGGAAAAATTTTTCCAATCGTTTTTCATCATCGGGATTCATCCGCAGGTGAAGTTCATTTGACTGCCGATTCGTGCCTTTGCGATGCGTGTTTTCGACACGTTGACAAAAAATCAAACTGCCCCACTTTCACGGAAAAGAAAAGCGACATTCGAAGGAGATCCGTTCGGAAGCAAACGTGCATCGTACAAAATTGCAACGCGGAATCGCAACAAAGCATACGCCGAAGATTATTTTTGAAACTCAAAAAATCCGTCGGACGTAAAATTGTTTTGGATGCTGGAAAATTGGAAAAACTTCAACCGGGTCAATCGTTGACTTTTTGTAATAGGCACATGTATTGGATTGATTATTTCATGAGTTGTGGGATATGTAAAAAACGTTTGACGAGGTTTGTGTGGCATCATTTTGTTTATGTAACGAGTCGTCGTTGAATGGGATTAAAAGAGAAAAAAAATTTTCCTTTATAGCGTTAACATGTATCGAGTGACGTCAGAAGTTTTGGAATTGAACGCTGCCCTAAGTTCAGATGAGATACCGGCCATTTTAACGGAAAATAGATTCCTGTGTAAAATTTGCAATTGTTTTGCATCGATTCGTATGAAGTGTAAAAAACCATCGGAAATGTCTTCGAGTCACCGTCAGTTTTACGAAACTTGCAGAAAAAGGTAGAAATTTTTAACATAATCGAAAATATATAAATTAGTTGGACACATTTATTTATTTATTTATCCGATTCTGAAATTAATTTTTTTAGAATATTAAAATGTCACGGAATGGAAGTACCCGATTCGGAAGCGGAAGGAGATGCTAAAAATAACAGCGAGGGTAAATCGTTGAGAAGAGCGAAGAGAGCATCCAAACCCACGTCGACGGTGACAAATGAAAATTCAAAATCGGATAACGACATTGAAGTTTCGATGGAGGAAATGGACAAGACGAACGAGAGTGAAAAAAGTGAAAAAGAACTCAAAAAAGTTAGTCATATGAACATACCGCCGAAAACGAACGGGAATTTGGATTTCGGCGGCGTGTCCATAACGCCGTCCGCGACGGAAGTGAATCCGACTCAGATTCACGTCAAGCTGGGCAATCTGAACATCGGGGCATTGGGAAATTTAAACATTGGACAAGACGTGCGTCACGGACCGTCTCGCTCCGGGGAAATCCATTGTTTTCCGACGGAAACGGAACTTGCTCTCCGTGCTCACTTCGATTTGAAACCGTCGGCGGAAGATGAGAGCGCCAAAAGCGTTAGGAAGGGTTTCGAGAAGTGCACGACGACCATACAGTTCAATTCGGAAACGAAAAATTTGTTTTATAATTTACAAATGCCCTACGGAAATCAAAGTAGTTTTTTCAGACATTTAATTTTATTAGAAAAATATTTTCGAAATGGTGACTTAGTGATATCTAAAAACGCGGATCCCAAAGCAATTAATTACATATCAAGTGTTCAAAACCGTATCAGGTCCTACGAGGGAATACACAACAATCCTTCGAAAAAACTACCGGAAATATCTCCTAGTTTAAGTATATTGCCTCAGCCAATCAAGGTGGAATCGAGAACTCAGGATGTTAAACCAAGTGTTATGCCTTGTCGACCTTTCACACTCACTCCCATGCCTTCCAGTTCGTCTTACTACATGAAAAACTCACCGCTGAGTCAGATACAAGCGGCCGTTCAAAGCATACAACCCGTCGGTCAAAAGCAAAATCAAGGAATCATGACTTCGTTGTTGAAATCGTCGCTTCAACAGTCTTCGTCGAAATACGGGAATCATCCCAAGCCTGAGGTATCCATAACGAGCGTATCGACGGATGCGAGTCCTCCCATCCGAGTCGGCACTCTCGGAACGACCGGGAAAGCATCCGTTTTAACGTCGAAAATACAAGAGAATTTGAGGAATTTGGCATCGTCGAAAAATAATCAATCGAGTCAAGCGAGAGCCGTCATACTGAACAGGACGGTTGAGGGTCAAAAGCAAAGTTTCGTTCAAGTGACGACGGGAAATAAAACGATACACCTCACTCTGTCACAATTCAGGCGAATCCAACAAATGCAAATGAGGAAAAAACAATATTTGGAACATCAAGCCAAAATGCTCAAGGGTAAAGAAGATTCGTCGGGTAGGACGAGGTCGAAAGGAGGAGGAAACGAAGAGGGTTTCAATTTGAAAAATCTTTCTCCCGCGTTGGAAATACAAGAAATCAAACAACAACAACAGCAACAGCAAAAGACGAACGGAAACGATTTGTTTCCTCTCATAAGCGAAGTGAGGAGTCTCGTGGGGGAAAATGTGAATTGGGATGATGCGAAAAGTGATGGAAACGATGAAGGACTCAACGAATCATTTCCTAAAATACCCAAAGCGTTGTCGGTGTCGGTTACGAAAATATCTCCGGATTATTCCGCGAAAGAACAATCGATTGAATCAGTTGAATAGGGAGCTCTTTAAATTATTATTATCATTATTATTTTTATTTTGTCACGCGTAATTGAGCACGTGTGCACGTGCACACGCACACGCACAAATTTATCTTATTTTCTATTTTTTTTTTTTTTTTTAATGTTTTTGTTGTGCGTGCGTGCGTGCGTGTTTGCAATGGCCAAAGTATGAAAGATTTGGTGGTGAATTAAACGTGGTAAGTTTAAAGGGAAAATCGAATGAATTGGAAAAGGAAAATTTTTTAGAAAACAATACAACAGACAGCAGCAGCAGCAACAGGAGAAAACAAATAACTGCATTGTGGTGCTATTTTATATTAAAGTTAAGTTTTACACTAAAAAAAAAAAAGAATAAAAATGGAGGAAAGAAAGGAAGAAATTACAAAACAACAAACAACAAACAAACAAACAATTTTTTTTTTTTTTTTTATTTTATTATTATTATTATTGTATCGAAATGATGAAATCAATACGAAAATTTTTTTTATTAGTTTATTTATTTAAATTTTTTTTTTTGTTTTTTTTTTTTTTTTTTCAATTTTTGCCTTCAATAATAAAAAAGCGCTAATGATATGGAAAAATTAGTTTTTTGTTGAATTATGGCGGTCGAATCATAAACAAGCAATAGTAATAATAATAATAATAATAATAATAATAATAATAATAATAATAATAATAATAATGACGGTAAATAAACGCGCGGTTTAAAAAAAAAAAAAAAAAAAAAAAATGGCGTCGCGTTTGCATGCATGCATGCATGCACGTTTACGGGATGTTAACGTTTGCTCATTTTAAGGGCAGAAAAAAATTTTTTTTTAAATTTTTTCTATATGTTAAAGGTTTTCATAAGTACAAATAATAATAATAATAATAATAATAATAATAATAATGATAATAATTGTGTAAATTTATCAGGGGGGAAATTTTTGAAAATCGCGAGCGTGTGTGTGTGTGTGTCTTGTTTTTTTTTGGTTTGGTTTTCTGATTTTCTGGTTTTTCTGTTTCGTTTGCGAGTTTATATTTATATGTTTGTCTAGTCTCTGAGTTTTTACAAATAAAAAATTATTATTATTATTATTATCATCATCAGGTATATATATATACAGGTTAATCGAGTTGGAAAAGAAGAAGAAAAGAGTAGTCGAAAAAAAAAGAAAAAAAAATTTATGAATGTCTAGTCTGTTTTTTTTTTTTTTTAGGTAAATTTAAATCTCGCGGTTTTTTCTTTGAAATTTACTATTATTATTATTATTATTATTATTATTTACCTTCTTGTAATCAGAATAATAATAAAAAGGGGGTGGGGGGAGGGAGGAACAAAAAATGAATTGAATTCATAATGGTAAGACACGATTGATTTTATTAAACACACACACACACACACACGCAATAACAAATAAATTGTTGCAACGGAAGTGACCTTAATTGAAACGTTTATTATTATTATTATTATTATTAAATATTTCAATAAATAAATAAATTGTGTCTGTGTAAATATAAAAAAAAAAAAAAAAAAATAATAATAATAACTCGTCGTAGTTTTTTTTTTTTTTTAGGTAAATTTAAATCTCGCGGTTTTTTCTTTGAAATTTACTATTATTATTATTATTATTATTATTATTTCCCTTCTTGTAATCAGAATAATAAAAAAAAGGGGGGGGGGGGGGGGGGGAACAAAAAATGAATTGAATTCATAATGGTAAGACCCGATTGTTTTTTTTAAACCCTCCCCCCCCCCCGCAATAACAAATAAATTGTTGCAACGGAAGTGCCCTTAATTGAAACGTTTTTTTTTTTTATTTTTATTTTTTTTAAATATTTCAATAAATAAATAAATTGTGTCTGTGTAAATATAAAAAAAAAAAAAAAAAACATAATAATAATAACTCGTCGTAGACTCTAATGTAGTAAAAAAAAAAAAAAAAAAATTAATTGTGACAAACGTTAATTATTATTATTATTATTATTATTATTACTACTACGACTAGTGCTATTGTATGTAAACTTCCTTATATATATATATATATATATATATATATATATATATATATATATATATATATATATATATATATATTTACATAATTTGCCTTAATAAACGCTGTGGTTAATAAATAAATAAATATTAATAAGTTTTAATAAGACAATTACAATTTATGTATATTTCAAAAGGTACTATTTTATTTTTTAAAAAAAAAAATTATATTATTAAGTTTTCATTAATTAATAAAATATTATTATATGTGGTATTTTAATAAGAAAAAAAAGGACTTTGTTCGATGATAATAATAATAATAATAATAATAATAATAAAGGTTAGAAGTGGGGGAAAAAAAATTCATTCATTCATTCATTCATTCATTCGACTGTTTAAAAAAAAAAAAAACAAATTTTATATATATTTATAGATTGATAAACGCAGATGACGAGAATTATGTTATTGTTGTTGCTGTTGTTATATTATAACCATTATTATTATTATTATTATTATTATTATTATTATTATATATTTATGTATTCGTGCGTGATGTGAAATAAGGTTTCGATACGAACAATTAGAGAAAAGTTTGGTTTGTTTTGTAATGAGAAAAGTATTTTTTGTATTTAAAAAAAAAAAAAAAATGGTTTTATTCTTATGATAATGATTTTGAAAACAAAAAAGAGAGTGATAAGAATGATAAGAGTGATAACAAAAACAAAAACAAAACAAAAAAAGAAATTTAACTTGAATGTTAAAATGTTGGAAAATGATGACGTAACAACGCGTTTTGTTTTGTTTTGTTTTTGTCATAAATAATTTTTATTTGTAATTTTTTAAACCATTATTATTATTATTATTATTATTATTATTATTATTATTATTATTATTATTATTATTATTATTATTATTATTATTATTATTATTATTATTATTATTATTATTATTATTATTATTATTATTATTATTATTATTATTATTATTATTATTATTATTATTATTATTATTATTATTATTATTATTATTATTATTATTATTATTATTATTATTATCGGTACGACTAGTACTACTACAACTACTACTACTAGTTTGACTACTATTACGACGACTATTATTATCGATTTTCATTTGATGATTTTTATAGTAATTATAATAATTTTTTTTTTTTTTTTGCTTTTAATTCGTTGCCCCCTCCCCCTCCCTCTCTCACCCTCCCCCGGGGGGTCGGGGGTGAAAATGTACATTCGATCACACACAATGGAGTGAATAAATTAAATAATAATAATAATAATAATCGAATGTTTTTATCGTTTGCACGCGACAACCGAAATACCAGAAAAGAAAAGAAAAGAAAAAAAGAAAATTTTTTTTTTTTCTCGTTGACTTAATAGTTTATTAAAGGGGCACGCATTTACTTAATCGTCGTAAACGCGACGACAACAACAACAACAACCAAAAAAAAAATTTTTAACGTAACGACCGACGGGTGGGGAAAAAAATTATTATTATTATTATTATTATTATTATTATTATCGAAAGTACATAAATTATTATAATTAGTAGTCACGTTGTATAATTTAATTTTATTATTATTATTATTATTATTATTTTATTCGCCACCGAATGAATGATGATTAACGAGATGTGATACTATATTATTAGGTGTCT